CTCGACAAAAAAGCAAAGCAATTTCTCCATAGGATTTTGGAAAATAGATGGAAATAAGGTCTGTGGTTGACGCACATTTAAGAGACTTTCTAATCATAAATCTATCCATTAGATTTATGATCCAAAATCCTATGGAGAAATTTCATTGCTTTTTTGTCGAGGGAACCGGAAGGAACCCATGCGCAGCTTACTTCCGGGTTTCAGGACGCGTCACTGCACCACTCTATAGGACTCCTTTGTTTACTTCAGGAACATAATGACATCACAATGTAACTCTGGGGCTTCTATTGGCTAAGCGCTCAAACACATTGTATGTGATAGGCTAAGGGGCGGGACATCTCTAAGTGGCTGACCAATCACAACAGAGCCGGCCAGCTAACCAATCGGAGCAGACTGGGCTCTGGTTTCAGACAGAGGGTGAAAAGAGGTGCTGCAGCACAGGCAGTATGAGAACAATAAAGAGCTTTTTGAACATTAAAGCACGGAGACATGTCACAGGAGAGACACTACATACTGATATGAACCTGAAAATGAACCTTATAGGGCCCCTTTAAATAAAATAATTTAAAAAACTTGTTCTCCTAGCAGCAGCTCACCAGCTTTGAGTGCGATCCTGAGAGAGTTTTTACTCAGCAGGCTCTTCAGTCTGATTTTATTCTCCTTCGCCTCTAAGCCACTTGGGGTCTAAAAAACAAAACAAATGAGTGCAAAAAGATTAAGCCATATTAAATATTGTCTCCGTCTACACGGACAAACAAACTGTCACTTACCGTCCTCACAGCGAGAAGATGATTGGTCCACAACCAGTTACGTTTAAGATGAGCGAAGAATTCAGAGTGCAGACCTCCGGCTCCTTTACCGTCTCCGGGTATCGAACCGTCGTCACACACTTCGAGATTTCCCCTGTGAGTATGAATACATATCAATCAGTTATACTTAAACACACTGCTAATGAACTATATGCACTTTGCTGTAACCTGCTTTTTGGTTCAAATGTTTGAGTTGATTATCTTATAGAAACAGGCAGAGGAAGTCAAATGCTCTTATGTTGTTTACAGCTAATCTTTATTAAACAGGGTTTGTACAGCTTTTAAAGAGTAACATTTAAACACCTTCCCACTCTTAACTTCTAATTTATGCTTTTAATGCAGTGCACTATAGTTTGTATTCTACAGTCGATTTGTCATGTTCTTTTTAAAGGTCCCATGTCATGGCCATTTCTACTGATCATAATTCCATTGTTGAGGTCTACTAGAATAGATTTATATTGTTCAATGTTCTAAACTCACATTGGTTTCTCATACAGCATCTCTGTAAACTACGTGTATTCACTCTCTGTCCTAAACGGCTTGTTGGAGCTCCTGCCCCCCCCCCCCCCAGTGGCCGTCTGCGTGACAGCGAGACACAGCGAAACCCAGCCCGAAACACACACACACACACGCAGCCTGGCTAGCTGTTTGTGTGTGTGCCCAGGCTGAGTTCCGCGGTGTCTCGCTGACCCCACACCAGTGAGCCAGCTCACACTGACTGTCCCGCTCCTCGCAGCAACGAGCCTCGCAACGTCCCGCCGAGTGTGTGAGTGTGAGGAAGTCCGCGGATTGGTCCAAACGTAACGGCTCCGTGGACGTTACATTACGTTACGTCACTATACCCAAATACGTCACTGTACCCAGGACGAAAATGAGAAATCCCCAACGAGGCGTTCTGGGGCAGCATAGACAGGTATTTTCTGTGTTAGAGTTGCACTCGCTACAGGGTGTACTTTGAGGGTTTGTGACTCTGCAGACCGTTTACATGCAGAAAAAGCTACATAACACAAGGACGGGTAAGAACCAGAAAAGCATGACATGGGACCTTTAAGCTTATTTTTGCTTATTTGTGCTGTTATGCCTTTTTTACATGTCTTGTACATATTAACCTAAAGTCCTTCTGTGTTCTCTCGTGCACTCTAAACTGTTATACAAATAAACGCACTACGCCATACAGAAATATCCTTCTCTACTTACTTGAGCAGGTATGCCAGTCCCACAAAGACGTTGCGTTCGTGCACAAAGGAAGGATCAGTTTCTTCCTCAGAGGGATTTCTCTTAATGCGGATTACCCCTAAAAACATGCAAACAAAAAGGGAGAAGTTAACAACTTTAAAAAAGGGAAAATATTATGTAGAAGTAGGGCGATTATTCAATAGGAACATATATCCACTTATTATTAAAAACAAGCACATACTAACTCAAGTTGTAAGAAAACCTGATATATGAATATGTTGAGGAAGTGTTTTTAAGATCACATCTTGCATTATAACGCGATTAACAAATGGTGTATAGCTGGAAATATATATACATTTTTTTGTGTGTGTGAGAGAGTGAGTGTGTGTGTGTGTGTGTGAGTGTGTGTTCCTGTATGTACCCAGTGGTGTATTGAGGCAGACACACATCAGGTCGAACCAGTAGTTTTCCACGTCCTCTGCGCTGTTGAACGTGTAGTGGCGCTGCTCGAAGGGTTTGTCGAAGGACTCTGTGACGAGCCAGTAGTGAGGCTCGGCGTTGGTGGTGTCGACGATGGAGGCGTTACGCATCACGTGCACAAACACCTGGAGTAATGTAGACATGGGGGTGAGGAAATATGGGAACACTTGAAAAGAGAATTTACTTTTTTTACATGGCATTTGTGCAAAATGTACAACTTGTTCACCGCTACATGTACAAATATAGAAAGGCCCTGAGCTGTTTGTGTAAACTGTTGGGAAGCCTTTACATAGAAGTATATAGGATTGTTTCTATATATTTGGGTACATGCTGGCATGATGCAATATCAACATACTTATCATGCATTATAAGTTAGTTAGTTAGTTATAAGCACTAAATATTCATTTTATTTTGACAATGTACTTTTACAATACAAAACTTACGCTCTTCGACACAACTCTTTAGTACTTTTTATAGCAAATGTTTACTAATAAGTCCTTGAACAAGAACCTTTTTTATTGAGATACACGAGGTAAGGATAATAGCCAAATGAAATGATGTGTTTTATGAGGGAATCAGATCAGCAGTCACATGTTTTGGATGTTTTTGTGGCATTTGTTGGCAAATTCAACCACCACATCAATCACATCACCAGGACCGCCTTTTTCCACCTCAAAAACATTGCCCGTCTCCGCCCATCACTCTCCTCCTCTGCTGCTGAGACCCTGATTCATGCATTCATCACTTCACGACATCCTCTACGGCATACCATCCAACCTCCTCAATAAACTCCAACATATCCAGAACTCTGCTGCCCGCCTCCTCACCCACACCCGCTCCCGAGACCACATCACTCCCGTCCTCCAGAACCTCCACTGACTCCCCGTCCGTCAAAGAATCAACTTCAAAGTCCTCCTCATTACTCACAAAGCCCTCAACAATCAGGCCCCCCCCTACCTCACAGACCTGCTGCACCACCACACCCCTTCCCGCTGCCTCCGCTCATCAGAAGCCAACCTCCTATCCATCCCCACTCGCATCAGCACCGGACCTGGGGGGACAGAGCCTTCTCCGTCGCTGCCCCCTCCCTCTGGAACTCACTCCCCCAACCCATCAGAGACTGCACTGACCTCACCACCTTCAAAAAACTTACAAAAACTCACCTCTTCAATCTGGATTTTAATGTGTGATTGTTTTTGTATTATTTGACTTCAACTATATATTTATTTGTTGTTCCTCTATTTTATTTTATCTTCACTATATCTGTAAAGCGTCTTTGAGCACCTGTAAAAGCGCTAACAAATTAAATCTATTATTATTATTATTGTGTGACTCGTGAATGTGTACCTGGTCTTTCTCCTTGAACTTCTCAACATGCCCAAACTGCACCAGACCCATGTAGACCAGCTTCTGCAGGTTCTCATGGAAGGCGAAGATGTATTTTCTGAAATAAAGAAGCCATAAATACCACATGTAGAAATCATAGTTACCGGGAGAGCCAGAAATCTAAATAAGAGTAAAAGTCACCGTTTGTAGAGCAGCTGTCTTCTCATCCTGGCCGGCAGCGTTCGGATGAGATGGTGCTGCTTCACCGGGTCGTTGAGATATTCCTCCAGTCCTTCCACCTGTGGTCACATGGGTTTTTATATGTGTGATTATTAGGGCTGTCAGAGTTAACTTCAAGAAATATTAAATCTATTTTCAGTAAATTAGCTTCACCTATTGACTGAGTTCAATATATCCAGTTCAATTCAATTAGACTAAATGTTATAATAACTTCTTGGCACTGTATAAATCAATACAATACAAATCTATTAAATGAAATCAAGTAATTGTTGCAGCAAAGTATTTTGTATTGTTTATGCAATTAAGACGTTTCAATGAACATCTGTTTGCTGTTAAATATATCAGAATCAGAATTCCTTTATTTGTTCAACAACGGGGAAATGTGCGTTATTACTACATCAGAGGTATAGTGCAGATAGAGTGAAGAGAATAGACTAACATTAAGTGACCATTAATAAGAGTTAGCTGGTACTGTTAGGAGAAAGTATATGTAAGGACTCTCCTTCCAATGATGGAGCAAACCTGACTCATCACCTTTGTGGAGCTGTTCTGTAATTTAATACCCAAAACAATATGTTGACACTTTTGAGAAGTCGCAAAGTATACACTGAAAGGAAACAGTATTTTGTTTCTTGTGCTCCAGAGGAAAGAAAAACTGACTTCTGACACAGATGCTATTTGAGGATCATGTGACCAAGAGAGGAAATATGTTTTCCTACAGAGGGTAAGTGAAGTGAATTAGCAAAACATCCTTTAAAAAAGTAAAACAAATGTTTGTTTTCTGACCTTATAGTTGACCTGTATGACCTGAATGAAGATGGAGAGCGGCATGCAGAGCAGGATGTCTCCGACCATCGCCCAGCCGCTGATAAACCCCTTGTGCACACGCACAGGAGGAATGAATTTCTTCCAGGAGTCTTCATCAGAATACACTACCAGAGACACGGAGACGATAACATAAGCAATTTTGTTAAAATATTAAAAACAACTACAATATGCATACCTTTATTCACTATATTAAAAAAAAAACAGTATCCCACCGTGGTTCTGACACAAACAAGAGTCATTGACTAAGTTCAGATACACACTAGTTTTCCACTAGTATTCTTAATTTGATCAGGCTCAAATCAAAGCATGCTATGTTTGGGTTTTCAGAGTTAGGCTTATTTTAACACGTAGAATTTTCAAAAAAAAGACAGGTGGGATTTTCAGATATTATTCAGGTTTTAGGGAGCCTTCTTTGGACTCAGCTCATTCTGAATATGCATTAGATTCTTACAGCAGTTTACGACACTTGGCCTCCTTTATAACCAGCTCTGTGCACTTTAAACAACCAACTAAACAACAATGTGTAAGGCTGGGCTGGAGATGCATTTCAGAAGTAAAAGCCCACATTTCAAAACGTTGGGGAACAGACATTCTTTTTTAACATTATCAAAGACTAGGAAATAAACAGGTATTAAAGGTCCCATGTCATGCTTTTCCAGTTATTACCGGTCCCCTTGTGTGTTATGAAGCTTTTTATGCATGTAAACGGTCACAAACCCTCAAAGTACATCCAAATGGACCAATCCGCGGACACACACACACACACACACACACACACACACACACACACACACACACACACACACACACACACACACACACACACACACACACACACACACAACACACACACACACACACACACACACACACACACACACACACACACACACACACACACACACACACACACACACACACACACACACACAACACACACACACACACACACACACATACACACACACACACACACACACACACACACACACACACACACACACACACACACACACACACACACACACACACACACACACACACACACACACACACACACACACACACACACACACACACACACACACACACACACACACACACACACACACACACACACACACACCACACACACACACACACACACACACACACACACCCTCGCCCCACCGTCTCAGGCTGAGAAAAGATTCAACACGGCACCCAGACCCCACGCAGCATTCTCATCTGTTTGTCATAACTGGTGTCATTTTCTGGTTGCTAACAAACGCCATTGTAACACAAACACACATCAGAGCACACTGGGCTCACAGGGAGGGGGGGGGGGGGGCAGGAGCTCCAACAAGCCAAGACATTTGGAAATAACAACGTTTTTAAAAGTGGTAGCAGGATGAGAGCTGTGTTTGCAAAGTCCAATAAGTCCGACACCGGTTGAACAGAAATCATACTCAAATGTTCATTTTTTATAGCAATGTAAACAAATAGGAATATTGTCTCTATCAGAAGTGCAAACCTGTTCTTTTTAAGTGTGCATGTTAACAGATTTGTTCAAATAAAAAATGGACAGCTCCTTCATAATAAGCACTAATTCCCACACTCGATGCTCGCTCACCTTTCAAGTCGGACTGAGAGTCACTAGGTATCGATTTATCCTTCTGCTCCTCCTCTTCATCACCCGACGATATCACATCTAAGTTTGGCGAGTCAGTGTTTTCAGACGGCAGTGTTTGTTTGTTAGGGGAGTCTTTCCGTTGTTTGGGATCGGGGTCAGAGATGTTCTGTTGTGCCGACGTGTCGCTGGTCGATGGGGAGTCAGAGGAGCTCTGTTTGCTCAGGTGCCCGTATATCAGGTACCAGAGGAAGTTATGAACAACACGCATACGATGCATCTTAGGCTGGAATCCAAGAGACTTCCCCAATCCCTTAACTATGAAATTAAAGAGAAAGAAAAGAGAAAATGGACTTCGAGGACAAAGACGTCTGATCATAAGGATGTCAATAGGGGTGAGTCCACAGTTGAACAAATAACTTCAATAGGGCAAAGTTGAATCAATTCAAAATCAAACGATCTCTTTCAAACTGGGCTCTGAATTTGAATGTATGACTCCCTTTTGTGTTTGTTTAATATTGAGTAAAGCAGAACCTGTTGTGGGCTTGAACTCTTCGTTTTTATTTTTCTTCTTGTCTCTCTTATTGGCTCTGGAAGGGCTGCCGCTCGTATCTTCAGGGGCGGCGCCTTCTTCTCTGGCTTTCTCTTCAGCGTGCTGATGACTGAGGGACGGACAGAAAGACAAAAGTTGGAGGAAGATAGGCTCGATCAAGACAGAAGATACGAGACATTTTCCTGCTCTTTACCACAGAGTAATAGCAGCAGCAGCAGGACACAATTAGCGCTCGTGATAATAAGGAATCAATGTACCTTTTTGCTCTCAAGGGCCATTTCAAATTTGAACAACATCCTCAGAGGGCCGTACAAATTATTGAACTCAACCTCTGCTTAAAAGTGCTAAAATCACAGCCCATTCATTTGGCCTTTCTTTCATGCTGTGCAAAGAAAAAGCAACCTTTTAATCCAGATATCTTACCCTGACTCGTGTATGCATGCACGTGCACGGTTGTGGCATGACCACCAAAACAGAAAGATATGGACACAAGACGTGTGCAAATGTATTTAGTTTCCTATCCATGTGGACATGATTTAAGTTGGGATGGATCTAACCTCCTCTAGGGGAGATTTGTTTTTAAATGTTGAAGTTAAAGGTGGGGTAGGTAATTTTGGAGAAACCAGCTCGAGTGCGCTAGAATTTGAAAATACACGACCGGAAAAAATCTGCCACTTCCTTACAGAGTCCCCTCCTCCAACACACACGAACGCGCACATGACCAATGAGGGCACGAGATAAGTTTGTGCACAGATGGTAGGCTGACAGGCAGGTAGGCCATCCAGTTACTTTAGCCGGGCCGGCTCAGATGATTGGTCGTGCTTTTTACAGCTACGGCTTCCACAGATGATATTTTTTATGGATTTTTTGTCAAAGCACTTAAGATATTCATTGCTATCGGGATGTTAAGAGCATTCCATGGAATATAACAAAAAGTGTATCTCGAGCCAGTTTCTCAAACTTACCTACCCCACCTTTAAAAGCATCAATCTGGTGCACTTTGAGAGCAAAATTAGGAGATCTATGGAAACATTTCTCAACATCCATATGAAACAGAACTGTAAGCAGATTTTCTTTTTGGATATTTTACAAATCACTTTCAAACTGTTTATTAATAACAACTTTTTTATAACTTTCATATAGTATTTTATACCTGTTTTTAATTTAGTCTCTTGTTTTTTGATAACTATAATGATCATATAAAGATGTGCCTTTACCTCACTGAGCTGAGGTTATCAGAGCCTGTCAGTATGTCAGGAGAGAGCTCTCTGCCACCTGGTTGTAGAAACAGCTCCTTATATACGTTAGCATAGCTAGCTAACCAGATGCTAATAACAACATTCCCGGTACCACACTCTCTCTCTCTCTCTAACAAAATGCCACACACACACACACACACACACACACACACACACACACACACACACACACACACACACACAGCACACACACACACACACACACACACACACACACACACACACACACACACACACACACACACACACACACACACACACACACACACACACACACACACACACACATCACACACACACACACACACACACACACACACACACACACACACACACACACACACACACACACACACACACACACACACACACACACACACACACACACACACACACACACACACACACACACACACACACACCACACACACACACACACACACACACACACACACACACACACACACACACCCACACACACACACACACACACACACACACACCACACACACACACACACACACACCACACACACACACACACACACACACACACCACACACACACACACACACCACACACACACACACACACACACACCACACACACACACACACACACACACACACACACACACACACACACACACACACACACACACACACACACACACACACACATAACATCTGAATGTTATGTTTTGTTTGCTGAGTAGAAACTGATTTTATTTTAAATGGCTGCCAGTAACAGGAAAATAAACAGACTGTGTTCAACTGGAAACTTTTGTATCAGACGAGGTAATCAGCGCGACAACATAGCAGCACCTCAGTGGCTTAATAGCAAATATTACACGGAGAAACTGACTAAATTAAGCATATTCAAAAGAATCGGACAGCGCGAGAGTATTTATTTTGTGCTTACCGTACAGTGGAGTAAGAACTGGAGATTCTGAAGCGGATCTGTTCGATGAGTCGTGTCACTATTTCATCGGTGGGCTTAACGGACGGATGAACGACCATCTCCACCTGCGAGGAGAAGAAAGTCAACGGCAAAGAAAGTGCGTATCTTTTATTTTGAGACTTCTAATTTATGTGTATGTAAAATGTGCTTCCTGCTGCTTTTGTTTTACTACAATTCACCAAAGGACAGCATTTTTAAACAAGCTAGCTGGCCTCACAAATGTACAGTCATGTTTATGAATGTGCATGCTCCAGAGACTTGGAAATATAACCCTAACCATGTGTGTTGGAAAAAATACTGTTGTCTCCTCTTTGGGTTTGTTTTAATGCACTGATATCATGTGTGACTCTGCACTGCGTACGACCTTGCAGCTGCCTCTTTAGGATAGAAGGAGGCAGGGCATTTCAGGTTGTTGATCTTTATGAGGAGACAGACACATACTTGTTGTCTCCTACATATCATTTCTATGAGGCGTGAAGGAAGTCCAGAAGACGTCACAGATGACCCGACGCTTTTCCGACACCCGCGGCTGATATTAGCGCCACCTTGATTTACGACTTTGTTGTTATCTCCTGTGTTTTGGACGATATAAGCCTGATGTTTTCTCCTGCTCCGTTGAGCAACATACCCCATGTGTGTGAGTTAAACCATATCCTTTGTATGTGATTTAACTCTGCTCCTTCTTGCAAGAATACATTAGTACCTGATTATTGATTCTCAACCTGGTGTCGAGTGATATTTTACAATGTGTGATGGGTGCGCTTACGTTCTTGGTGACCCCGTCCTGTATGATGGTGGTCTTGTACACCTTTAGTAAGCCTTCTCTGGACAGGCTGTCCACGGTGCGTACGATAGTCTTCTTGCAGCACCTCGTGTTGATTCCATCCTTCTTTTCGTCGTCAGTAATGATCTTCTGTAGCCTGGAGACAGACAGCATGTTGGTGTTTTTGCTTTGTTTTCTTACTGTGCAAGAAAATACTTGTGAATAAGTGAGGCACAGTGAAGACAGACTTACGGGAAGAGACCCTCGATGATTTTGAAGTTGCGCACCGCCTCCACGATCAGGTTCTTCCTCCTCAGCAGGCGGAACGTCTCGTGAGATCTCGCCAAAGCATATTTGTTTTTTACACGAACCCGGGCCTGGAGGAGGTGGATTGAACCGTTACCTTTATAGGTCCCCTTTAATACTGTTTTTCATCAATATATTATAGGTCTCAGATATATACAGAACATGTCTCTGATTGGCTGAAACACCAATCAGATCATTGCAGCATCCCATAATCCCCTCTGTTTCAGCCCTGTTTCCAAAGTGCTGATTCTCTGTCTGTGACTTTAGATGAAAATAAGGAGCCCCTCCCCACGCCCCTCTGAGAGACATTTGGTTACAAAGAACACAATGGTGCTCTAGGAGGAGATTCAGGTGATAAGGTGTGGGGGGGGGGTTACCTTGGTTGGTGATTGGCTAATGGTTACTCAAGCCAAAAAATCGTTATGACATCATCAAGTGGCCAAAATCTGATCAGCTCATTTTCAGACAGGTTTTTATAGAAATGGATCAGGACAAAAAGAGAGAGAATCTTTGTTCCTGAAACTTTCAGAGTCTCTTTCCACAGAGGGGACACATGTTGATGTAGAAGAGACATGAAGAAGAGGGGACACATGTTGATGTAGAAGAGACAGGAAAAGTGGATTTTGCATAATAGGTGACCTTTAACACTTATCTCGAACAGCTGGGACAAAACGGAGAAACACTGAAAGCAGACTGACCGGTCTCTTGCAGAAATCTGTAACAACAACAACGTCGTTGTCTCCTGAGTTGTTGGCTGCTTTCGACGGCTCACACTCAGGAAATGTGCTGAAAGGATTTGAGTTGGGATCATCCTCTTTGACTCCAGCTGGTTCTGATAGAAGAGACAGAAGGAAAACACACATATGTATCAGAGAAAAATCCCGATATCAACCACTACAAAAGTTAGTCTTATTTCTGTTAACATTTCTCTACTTTGCTGTAAAGAAGTCTTTGCTTTCTGATATAATACATTCAAATGGTAGAGATGCTATGGATTCATATTAGTAATTGTGACAAATAAACATTGCCATCTTTACATCAATATATATATATACCTGTATCTCATGTATTTAAGTCAATCTCAAGCAGGTAAAAAAAACAAAAAACATGTCCTATGAATTGTTTACATGTCTTGATAGTAGAATATATATTTTCAAGTATAAACAATCTCATATTTTGCCACAGATTCAATTATAATCATATAAATAGCCATGAAGACATTGATAAAGGTCATTAACATACATCATAAATCATGGGCTGGTTCTGCTATAGGGGGTAAATAAAATGTTAACTTAAAAGTGTTGAAGTTATTCTAGTTACCTGCTGTGGGAGTGGACTCAGAGTCAGGTGCTGCACTGCTGTTTGACTCACTGCAAGCTGCGGTTTCACCTGAGTGGTGACAGAAAAGAATAAAGAAGTTGGACCATATGCAGAGCTGTAACCATCAAAAAGTGCGTGGAAACGTCAAGAGGATTCAGACTTCTTAAATGCAAATGAATTAGTTGAGTATATTTTCTTGAAAAAATTGTTTTTTCGGTTGTAAAATATCTTAGGGGTAGAATCTCATGTTTAAGGCTGCAGCCACACGAGAACGATAACGGTCGTATCCGCTACAGTTCTCTATCAGATAGACGGTTCGGCCACACGAGGCCGACATGGAAACACAGAAAACGATAATGGGTCCCAAGGTGGGTAGATCTGCGGATGAAACGCTCTGGGGGGGCAAACGGCTCCGTGTCTACGCCCTATACGATCATTTCCTGATAACGTTGAAGCAATAGCCCCGCCTCTCCCACCTCTCCCGCTCAGAGATCAGCTGCTGGGCTGTCAGAAGAGGGGGAGGAAAGAGAGGCTCTGTTTTTATTCTTATATTATTATATAGTCGTTATTCATTTGTTTTAAAGCTCAATAAATAACAAAGAAGACCTCTGACCGGCACTTTTCTAATTTTGTTCGGAAGATTTAAACTTTAACGGACATGTTGACCGGCGAAACAAAATCTAACGGAAACTCTGCCCTTGGAAGAGGCGGAGGGGTGGGTGTTTTTCATCTGCTGGTGGACTACAGGAGAGATTTACAGCAGGAGCAAACGCTTGCCTCGGGGAGGGAGAAAAAGAGCCAGAGCGTCCACAGCGGAGAATAAACAGAAGGGCAACCATGGCAACCATGCACGGGAAGTCTTCTTCGCTGCTTTTGGTGTATTTTGTGGCAGGAGTACAGCGCCACTTACAGGCCCGGCATATGTACTACAGCGTCTCCAGCGCTTTGGAGCGGTCTCGTCTGAACGGACACGTTGCTGGTGCCTGTTGCGTGTGGACGGAAGACTTTTTGATATCGAATTTGGTTCGTTTGCATTACCGTTCTCGTGTGGCTCCAGTCTTCCCTGTAAACTAGCTTCCATTACCTAGTTTCGGCTCATCATTACCATCACTTCAATCACTTGCTTTTATCCCATGGCATTACCAATGTTGAGGTATAATATGACGTTTGTATTTTGTTTTTGTCTTTGCTTTTGTTTGCTTTGTTCAGCCCTCTGAGGCATTTCTTGTTATTTGGGGCAAAAATAAATGTTGATTTGATTTGATTTTGAACTCCAGTTAGTGTTGAGGCAGCCATTATTCACTGTTATTCACCTGTAAAAGGCACTGGTTTCTGACACTTTGTGGAATTTCTGGAGTATATTTTCTTTCAAAAGATCATTTTCTGTAGTCAACTGTTATAGAGTTTAGCAAAAACACACAAAAGAAGTTCTGACCTTCAGCTGCTTGTATGAAAGGGCTCTCAGGATGCTCAGCTTTCACCTGGCTTTTCTCTCCTGCTGCTTCCCCTCCCTCTCCATCCAAGGCTCTAACTTCTGTGTTCACTTCTCCATCCTCCTCTACAGCCTCCTTTCCTCCGCCATCTGCTTTCCTAAACTTCTTCGCTGCAGGGCTTTTGGAGGATGCTTTTTTCCGTTTGGCAGTTGGTGGTGATTTAGGGGATGGCGCATCAACATCTAATGCCTGTGGTGCAGAGGAGTAGAGGAGCTTCGTCCGCTCCTGCTCCTTAGCAAACCGTTGGAGTCGATTACTCACACCAACAAACCTGTCGACAGAAAACAGCAGATCATGAGTAGTTGATGTTATCATACTGGAAAAATACAAATAAAAATCTATACTCATTTACAGATTACGGTTTTTCGATCTCTCTGTCTGTGCACCACACTGCTCACTTCACTGGCTTCCAGTAACTGCTAGAATCCACTTCAAGACAGTGGTACTTGCGTACCATGCTGCGAATGGATCTAGCCCTTCCTACATCCAGGACATGGTTAAACCATACACCCCAAACGGCTCGCTGCACCCGCACTGCGAGGGGGACCCAAGTTCCCATCAGCAAAAACACGTGGGTTTGCTATCCTGGCTCCAAAATGGTGGAATGAGCTCCCCATTGAAATCAGGACAGCAGAAAGCTTACACATCTTCCGGCGCAGACTGAAAACTCATCTCTTTCGACTCCACTTCGAGCGATAGAATTACTAACAAAGCACTTATATACTAATAAAGGGCTGGCTTATCTAAAGCCAGATGAGTAGCACTTGAAATGGTTTGTTTTCTTCAAGTTCGTATCTTGTTGGTCGAATGCACTTATTGTAAGTCGCTTTGGATAAAAGCGTCAGCTAAATGTAATGTACACACAAACGGAAAGATTGACAATACAGTTGACTTTGACTTTGAGATACACACCTATGGCTGATAAACTGTGTCGTCCTCTGTCGACCCTGGTCCACCATGAATCCCTGCAGGGCGAAAGAAACCACACATTAAAATGAGAGACCAGAAGAAAACCTCTGTATTGTAACTTAATGTGTACTTGAGAAAAATAAAGAGCTCCTTGAACATTAAAGCATGGAGACATGTCACAGTAGAGGCAGAACATACAAATATGAACCTGAAAAGTAGCGTAATAGGGCCACTTGAATTGTGGGAAGCCCCAATGCAGCGTGGGATCTTACCTTAATCATATCCTCCCTCTCCAGCCGTCGACAGATCATACGAGATTCCAGCTTCCCGACATTCACCTTACAACTGATCCCGCGCTGAGCCATTCCCTTTGTGCCAGTGGATAATACTGCAGTACAACAACAAAAGATATATAGGCAACTTATTTTTTAAGAATTCAATCATTTCTCAGCAATGGAATTTCTTGTTGTGTTGTCTCTGTACTCTTGAGCTTTCTGTCTGTAAAATAATTCACTTCCAAACACTGCAGCTGGCTTATAAAGAACTGAAGGATTCTTTGGACCAAAATACGTACAAATACAAAATCATGCTACTTTATGAACCATCCAGATCTCTCAATGCCTTGAAGTACAGAGTGGGCAGTGGCTCAGTCAGTAGGGGCTTGGACTGGGAGCCGTAGGGTCGCCGGTTCAAGTCCCCGACCAGAGGGTCGCCGGTTCAAGTCCCCGACCAGAGGGTCGCCGGTTCAAGTCCCCGACCAGACCTAAATATGGAGAGTGGACTGCTACTTGGAGAGGTCCCAGTTCACCTCCTGCCCTGCCGTGGTGCCCTTGAGCAAGGCACCGGACACCCCCCTTCCCCCTTCACTCCCATTTCTCCCCGGGCGCTGTACAATAGCTGCCCACTGCTCCTAGTACTAGACTCCTGGTACTAGATGGGTTAAAAGCAGAGAACACATGTCGCTGTGTGACCATTAAAGAGGGTTTCATCCCTCCCATTTCTTCTTCTTCTTCTTCTTCTTCAGAAACTAAAATAAAATGCTTCCTGACTGCATGAAACATCGCCAAACTATTGAGCTGACACATGAAATATCTGTGAAGTCTGTTTGGTGAAAGGATTAGAGTAAAGACAGAGATCTAACCCATGTTATAGGCCTGCGACAGGACGTCCCTCTCCATGATTCGCCCCTCTGGAGGATTAGATTCGATTCTCCCTGCTGGGAAATCTTCATCGTCGTCGTCGTCATCATCGTCATCATCAGTGACGCCCTTCTTCGTGTACGGCTTCAACAATCTCAAACAGCGCACAAGCACTTTCTTCCCTGGAGAACAAAGTGAAATGATGCAGAGTATTTGTTCAACACAAAGCTGAATATAATCACACCAAAAACAATTATAAGAATGTAAACAAAAAAATGTATGTGATTAAATTATTCAAATAAGATGGTAGATATTTTATATTTGTATACCCTAACCCTGTCAATTTACTATTTTCTACATATAATAACTCGTGATATTTCTGTCACTCTATTAGCGTCCCAATGAACTTTATGATCAAATTCACTTTGTTAACTTATTTTATTTTAGATTGAATCTACTTCAAATACAAATATATGCCATTATACAGATATTATACATTATATATCAGTGTTTCCCACAGAATTTGATTCTATTTGTGGGGCACCGCACAAAAAAAGAAAAGCCAAAGGCCCCTTAACCTATTCGGGTGGTCCACGCATCCACCCCCCCTCAAATAAGATAATACATGCGAGTTCATGGCTACTGTAGACAACGTTCTTGTTGCTCTGTGTTGCGTTGTTAATGAGTGAAACACACCGGAGTTGAGGATCTGTGGGGTTTATTCTCCCAAAAATATAATTTACACTTTAGGCATTTAGCAGACGCCTTATTCCAAAGTGACTTACAACGACCAATTACAGGGACATTCTCCCTGGAGTAACCAAGGGCTAAGTGCCTTACTCAAGGGCAAGTGGTGTTCCAGGCAGGATTTGAACTCGCAACCTTCTGATCATCAGCCCACCTCACTATCCATTAGACCACCAAAAAAAAAAAATATATATATTTTTTTTTATGAGATCCATTTGTGGTGGACCATATTTAATTGTGGCGGCCCGCCACAAATAAATCAATGTATGGGAAACACTGTATATATATGTTTTGCACACCAAAGCAGAAGAAACTATTATCTAATGAATAAGTCAAACTACAGAACATTTGTATAAAGTTGACAATTTTTTTAATGTTTTTGCTCAAATGTGCAAAACAACCCCCCACAAAAACACAGGTTTTCAGATTTCCAAATTCAATTTAAATGAGCATTTATTTGTTTGAAAGATAGAATATTAAATATCTCTGGATTGTTGGCTGTTTGTTGGCCAAAACTAAATATGTATGTTGGACTCTGGGAACATTTAAAGGGCAAAATTGAAAAAGTTGTGACAGTTAATCAACTGAATACAATACATATTGTGATCAATATTGAATTGCTAGTTTCATCCCTACACAGAACATATTGACTTAAGTAATCCATGTTTATGCTCCAGTTATAAATAAAGTGATATTAACATGATGCTGGCAAGAATAAGATATTACTACATGTTTTGGGATTTTATCTTCGTTTTTTTTACCTGAATTATTACGATAATGTTCCGAGTTTTAAAATCTAACAATTTGAGGTGAATCGTTAAAGCTGAGTACAATACATCAAAAATATTTAAGGCCAGTCGTAGAATAGCAGCAGGACAAAACGATTTGCAAACTGGGCTTCACATTTTCTTCTGATATTGAGATGACACTGATAATAAGTTATTGTTATGAAATTGATGCATGCAGGTAACACCGTCATGCTGTGCTGATGTGTTCAGGAGCTTCAGGTGCATGCTACCTTTCTTGTTGATGCACGGCCCGGCTGATGGGTCTAAATCCTCCAGAGGGTACTGACAGAACTCAGCCAACTTGGCATTTCTCATGTACTGAAATACACGCTTGAAAGTGCTGTCCTCCACATTCTGAGAGAAAACACACAGTTATTACCACAAACACACACACACTCGCAGAGAGATACACACTCACAGAGATACTCACCAGGTGGTGTTTCAGAGTGAGCAGAGTGGCAAACTGACCCGGCGACTGCTGCAGGAGGTTGCAGATGTACTCCATTAGGATGTCGTATTTTGCCCTCCTGAAAAATAAGAAGATGGGGTTAAAAAGAGTTTCCCAAGAAGAGAACTAGACAGTGAGTGGGAGGGACAAAGGATACTGATTACATAGGCTAATACATGTTAATACTTAAATACATTGGCTTTGTTCCCTTTTCACATCATGTGTTGTTGCAAGAGTCTATGATGTAGAAAAGACGCATTACAGAGAAGACAATTGACAGTTTTATCTCAAGTGAACTCAAATGGGAAGGGGATATACAACCCTGATGTAAGGATGCTCATGCTCCAATGAAAAAAGCCTGTTCTATTAACAGTTGTTTTTGAAAGAAATGTCAGGAAGTCTAATTACTTTTATGAAAAATGTAGCACTGATGAATTAGTTATTTGCTTTTTTCAAGAGGCAGCTTCTCTCTAATTCAATGCTGTACAGTTTGGCTGGATGTTCCTGTCTCTATTGCTGTAGGAATCGTAAACAAACACCGTTGGACATTTTCGTCATGCTGGCGCTTGAATTTTGATGCATTTACTTTACAAAATGTGTATGAATCCTGTGGCAGCCACACTGGAGTTTTGCCGACACCAAACAATCTAAAAGCGACTTGTTTTTTTAACGTAGACTGAAAAAGTGAAGAAGATAAATGGTTCCATATATTTATTTTAAGATAAATGCTCATGTCAGAGTCATAGGTCAGAGTACTATGTTCACCAGGATAGCCGGTTAGCTTGCTATAGTTTTCAGGTCATAAACCTTATGTATTAGACACATTTGACCAGATAATGACGGTAAACGAAGAGTCACAAAAGTTACAGCAACCCATCCTCAGGGGACATTATGTCTGATCTATATTAAAGGACAGTTCATCTCACAGTTTTAGAGATATGACATGCTAGAGGAAAATGAAAGGGATTCATTCGCTGGGGAACATGATTGTGTGTACAAACTCTCATTGCTATTTGTGTAATAATTGCTATATATATAGTTCAGTGTAGGGATGGGAATTTGAAAGCTAATGTATATTCGAATATTCGACCCCCCAAAAAACGGTTAACCGATTAACATATCCTATAAACATTTATTTTATTTTTAATAACGAATATTTAAAAATAAATATAGAAACCAAACCACATTTTTTTAAATATTTTTCTTAAGATATTTAAAATGGCACTGTCGTATACATTTAGTTAATCCATTTGACAATATGTAATCAACTTAGGCACCCTCCCATAAAAAAAATAGCGAATAATTTTGAAGATTCGATGAACCACTCCCGTCCCTAGTTCAGAGGTGGAGCGTAAACAGACCTGTTGACGTAGAAGCGTTTGAGCAGCAGCAGGATGGAGTGCTGCTGCTGTCCTGAGATCACTCGAGTGACGTGAGACTGCATGCTGACCAGGCCGTGTTTCACCAGAGCCTTCCTCATGTAGTGCAGCTTCCGAGCATCGATCCTGTTCAGACAAAACACTGCCTGTTACACGGGGAACACGCAATGTGCAAAACAGACACTTGTTTTGCACATTGTACTGTCCAATAATGACTTGTTATGTAAAATAATGTCCAAACATTTGATCCATTTGAATAATACCTGAACACCTCAATGTGTTACTTACGTCACATCTTTAGATTCTTTCTTCCCCTCCGCTACCGGACTCATACACAAGGCCCGGCCCCCCCACTGACACTTTACCTCAGCCACAACGCAGACTATATGCATTACATTAATGCACACAATGTACAACAATATGTTTGCTTTTTGCCGATTTGTATTCACTATTTTATTCCGTTCCATTGCAATGTAAATACTGTTATATTTTATTTTACTATCTTTTTAATTATTTTTCATATTTTTCTAGTTCTCTACCTGTGTTTTTAATTCTTGTTTTACTTTTATGTATGCACCACGACACCAAGTTAAATGTCAAACGTAATAAAGCTGTTTCTGATCCTGACCTTTAGCCATGGGTGTGTAATTATTTTTCTTTATTTTTACTCAATAAGTAATGTGTGCTTTTCCCCTCTATATCAAATAATTGAGCTTCCTCTTTAATATTGCACTCCTTTTTTTACCTGCCGGGCCACTTTTGCTGTAACACTGTACATTTCCTCGCTGCGAGACTAATAATAATAATAGATTACATTTGAATAGCGCCTTCCCAAGGCTGCTTTATATGGTGTGAACAAAATAGCAGCAGGAGTGGAAGCAGGGGGGTGTGATGGGTTAGGGGTCAAAGGCCATGGTCATGACTAATAAAGGATTCTGAACATCTGAACTTCAGCTTAAACAGGAAGCACAAGTGACCCCGAGCTAAATGCGTGTCCCGTACTTGAAGGAGCTTCCGTGCAGATCCTTTTGAAGCTCTCCTTGCCATCGAGCTCGGCCGACTCGTTCCAGCACGCAGTAAGAGTCGTCGTTGAGTTTCAAATCAGGATCGCTCTCCGGACCAATCAGGGTCCTGAATCGCAGCGTCTGACACGCCACCACGACAAGCTTTCGGCCATATCTGAGGAGGGACAGGGTGGAAAGAAGGAAGAGAATGAGACGAATGCACAGTTGCACTCTAACATTTTATTTAAGTCAAAGTCAACTTTATTGTCAATCTTTCAGTTTGTGTGTACAGACAGAGAGATCGAAAATACCGTTTCCCACAATCCCGAATACAAAAACACATATATATACAAATACGTATATACACAATCAAAGACACATTTATACATATGCACACATTAAGACATAAATAAAAGCACAATAATCAATATATACAAAAATAACAGTCACTTCAATATCTTTGAAAATGTCGGTGAATACAATGAATGACTTATGTGGTTAAGCTATTAGTTCTGGAGGTACAAAAGAATGAGTGTTGAATTAGTTGAATATCAAACAAACTCTTCTTACTGTTCCAAAGCCTCCTGCAGGTTGAGTAAGGGGGCGAGGGACTCGGAGCGGACATTTTTAGTGATGTCTTTCCTCTCTTTGAATAATGCACAGGAGCCCTGAATCCCATTCTTGTTTTCTAGAATCATATCAACCAGGTAGACATCTTTCCTGTCAGAAAAATGATGTCTTGTTTCAATGCCCGTTTCTGGGTCGATGCCTTTGAACCTGAAAACACACACACGCGCATGGAAACACAAAGTCAGGACGTTAAAACAAAGAGTTAACAACAACACTAACATATCCAGTGATTCCCGCAGAAATGAAATATACTTTGGGGGAACGACTCGTGGGGGGGTGGGGTGAGTGGGGGGGTGCGTGAAAAAAAATCTCCTCAGAAATCTCTCAAAAATTTAGGAGCGGGGCTAGTCCTGGTGGGCTACCCAGGCTGAGTGACAAGGTGGCATCCAGGAAACTGAAATGTGCAGGTCACTGCCATCGACACCAGGAACTTCCAGCTGGCAAGTTAGTACTCTGGGAGCCAACACACGGGCACCGACCAAGAGGGCGCCCCACGCCAACATACGTGGAGGTGCTGAGGAAGGATGTGGGGGTGGAAAGCTCCACAGAGCTGGCCGGGTGTATGGAGGACCGTGAGGATTGGCGAACCCGTTGGCAAACTCGTCTAAAGACGACCTAGTAGTAGTAGTCCTTGATTGGCTCAAGTTCACACCTTTTTAGGGGCGGGGCTAGTGATGTTGTCCCGGGGATGCTTAGGAGTTGATGGAGATAATCCCACTGACGTCATCATTTGATTCCAAAAGTGGGTCTGGACTCGCGCCCATAGAGGCTGTTTACCAGTATAATGGCTCCCCCTAAAGTATAATTTATGGGTGGCTCCCCCCAAAGTATAATTTATGGGTGGCTCCCCCCAAAGTATAATTTATGGTTTTTTAAGTTTTTTTTACTCACTGAGCACTCATTGCCACCAATGCAAATGCAATGAGTGCTCACTAAGTAAAAAAAAACAAAAAAACACACAAATTATACTTTGGGGGGAGCCATTATACTTTGGGGGCCCCCCAAAGTATTAACATGCTGTGGGAATCACTGATATCATTTAAAGTAGTACCTACTATCTTTCTTAAACGTGAATTGTAAAGAAATATACCATACATATCAAACACTCATAATGTCCCAGGCACCACACTGCCAGTTCAACTAATAAATAAAAGACTATTTAACTCGTCTTCAGGGATTTGCTACCATTTAGCCACACGATCATTAATGTATGGAAGCTGATGTTGGGGATAGAGCCCTTTCCTAATTGTTCTTTACCCGTTTCCTCCAAATGTATAGAACATATAGTCCTACATCTCTAACCAATAACTGCACGATTACCCTACATATTGAAATAGAAAATGTTATTTTTCTGTGGATCTGGTTAACTAATAATGCCCCGGCTTAAAGCCATACAAGATTACATTTGAAAACAATGCATTGCAATAGCTACAGACTTTAAGGGAACTGCACTCAGCTGATCTAAAGAGAAGTGCTTGTGGTCATTCAACACAGTGGAAAGTGTTAAAACAACACACCTCCAAAACAGATCTAACAACATTATAACATCATTATAACCTTTATTGAGATATGATTTTGTGGCAGGTCTGTTGCATCAGACTGCAATCATTTGACAAGAAGAAACATTTCTAAACTGCCTGCTGAGTTTCTCTGTAAGAACATCGTTCCACTAAGATGTTAAGATAAGATAAATAAAATACAGATTAACATATAGAATTGGAGTCAGTGTATCTTGATAGGCCAGCACACAACTAACAACATGTAAACAATGTAAATGATTTACATTATTCAGCATGGTCTGTGAATTATATTTAGGACATTGTTTTGGGGGCAAGTGGGACAAATACTCTGTCTTTATTTGCTTTAAAGTGTGCTGAACCTTTCATTATAAGCAGAACTCACCTGTCAAACAGCACCACATCGTCTCTCTCCTGCGGCAGCTGGTACAGCTTCAGCTCGGTGTTGTTGATAAGGGACCTCCAGACGAGCTCCTTGGTATGGTCATCGAGTTTCAGGGGAAAAGCAGGCTTTCTATTCTCTAATCGTATCCACAGAGAGGGGATAGTTATTCCGTCCAGTCCCTCCAAAGCCACTTCATCCACAACTATAGTCAACGGATCCATGATGCTACCAACTAGCTAACGTGCTAACATGCCAACTTAACAACAACTAGCTAACTAGCAGCTTGTTTGGTTTGTTCCGGGTTTTTAACTCACCGGATGTTACACTTATATAATCTGCATACTGAAGTTATTGTATTCTCATACGACTGACGGTTAATAATAACCAAATAGTAATACGTGTTTACAAGTGCGTCTTCCAACTGGTGACTCTGTACGTGATTACGTCATATTTTAACTATGATCTCACGTTGACGTTACGCCTCTGCAGTAACAAACCTTATCCACAAGGTGGCGGTGAAGTAATGTCCTGACATAATCTGGAGCAAAATAGTGGAGGTCCCTTTTAAAATTATTCAGAGATATTGCCCTGCTAATTTTTGTTTAGTTGAAAAAGGAATAACAATGCACATGTTCTCCATTCTAAAAGGCTATGCAAGTCATTTAATTATTCATACTATTGACTACGATTTTATTTGGTTTAAAAAATGAAACAATACATGAAGACTATCTTTTCTTAAAAACAAAAGGGCAATGAGGACACTGAATTTGTGCTTTTCATTTGATGCATTTGTATAAATTAATAATGTGCCATAGCATTGTATATTTATTATTGTTTAATTTTGTATTGATATTACCAATGTCTTCTGTATTTCTTTTACTAACATAGAGACATAAAAAAAGGTGGAGTTCAAGTGCAGCTTCTGCATAATCCTCATGGAGGCATAAAAAGAGATTATTATATTGCACAGAAGATACTTGTTTGCCATATACATTTGCTGTGTTTATTTACAGTAGACCTACTGCTGAAAATGTATATCATTCAGTAACTACGAGCAACTGTGTTAGCTTCTCCGGTGTCTCTTTTATCCTGCCCAGTGGTAGAAAGTAACATTTATTAACAACATGCTTTACTTAAGTATATCACTTTAAAGCAGGGGTGTCAAACTCAAGGCCCGGGGCCAAATCCGTCCCGCCACTTAATTGTATGTGAGCTTGCAAAGAGTATACTACGTTTATTATAAGGTTACGTGCTGCTTTACAGCACGTTGCATATAAACTACATGTCCCACAATGCATCTCATTTTGTGAGATGCGCACTGAAGAGACTTTCAATTACTTGCAATGATTTTCCCTAGACTTCTGCTTTCAGACGTAGTTCATTATGAAGTTATTACCCTATCCGATAATAATCCAATGCAGAGGAAATATTGTAAAATGATACATTACTTTATATATATTTATCGATGTATATTTATATAGTCTTAAAGTTACCACCGGTTCTTTGAGTGCAGCCATCATTAAAGTGTGGCCCGCGAGGAAATTGAGTTTGGCACCCCTGCTTTAAAGCAACATAAAGATTCCACTCCACTATATTTACTGGATGATATAGAACTCTTTATAGGTATTGCTTCAGTTTTAGGGTCTTGGTATTGAGCACTTTAATTAGATCAAAGCTGCATTTAATGTTAGAAGTAACATTAAACATTAACATGTGCTTTTCCTGCTTTGAAAAGTCAAAGTATCTGCAGTGAAAAAGTCATAAACTGCAGGAGTCATTGGCTTTATTCACGGTAAAAAGGAAAGCTTATAATTATTATTTTCTAAATAAGGACAATTAATTGAACAGTGACAAATGCAAGGATAGGAAGTGTTTATTCAACATCTTTATTATGAAGTACCTTTTTAAAAGAAATGTACAAGTGGAACCAGCACAGTGACATCTTGGCGTTTACCTTTGAAAAACAGAAACACCGTGGACTTGTGGTGCGGGTCTGAAGACACGTATGAAATGATAATGTACATATTTACAGCAGAGGATCTAGAACAGAAGTGAGCAAGCATGGTTGCAGCTAAAAAAAACAACGGGACTGACTGAAAATAAAAACTTAAACATTAAAAATCATGGATTGGTTCAATAAAGATATTTTTTGAAAGATAACATGATAAAGGCACTGTGTTTCACACAAATTGACAACACAACAGTTGTTTGTTTTGTCCATCGAATCATAATCACAAGAAACAACTTAACGTCATTCAACTGTCCCTGGGCTTTCTAACGAAACAGATCAGATATATCAGAGGGCCGAAGCAGGTCGCACATACACATTAAAACAAAATAGATAATTCAACTCGTCAGGAAAACATTCCTTATAAAGAACATGCTTGGTGATTATTAAAATTACATTTTTTTATAAACAAATACATATCTAAATTTTAAATTCCATATTGAAGGCATAATGGGCTGAAGTGAGGACACATGTGTTTTCAGATTACTGGGCCGAAACGTTGACATTCCTGCGAGACGCACGTCAGGACCTTTTTGTTTGATGAACACATTCAATGAACTACCAGCATAGATAACACAAAACACAGGCTGACGGTTTGAGATCAGCGCCGAGGACCGAGGACACGATGACAGGTCCAATGAGGGGACTTCCTTTGAGGACAAGGCGGGTAAACGTTTTTTTTTAAAAAGTCTTAAAAGTCTAATTACATTCAGCTTACACAGCTGGTGTGAGATCAGTGCGCTGTCTGCTCGGTGCTTTATGATATTCTGCAGGACTGAAACCATGGGAGAGGTTTGTAGGAATAGTTTGGCATTTGGGGAAGAAAATTGTGTTCAATCTGAAGCTACAGCCATTTAGCTTAGCTTAGCATAAAGACTGGATACAGAGGGGAAAAGAATGAATCCACGTTCACCGTAAAGGCTCAACTTGTTAAATCATAACATTTAGTTATTTCACATCTGTGAACGGATTAAGCAATTAACGGGAAAGTATTTAGGTAATGATTGAACATAATTTGTGAGCAGAAATGTGAGGAAACTTGTTTGAGTTTCGAGCAAATTTGCTGTTACTATTGGCAACATTTCCAAGTAAACGATTTTTCAACGATTGGTCACAAGAAACAAGTTATTTTTAAATATTTGTACAGACAAATTGATCAATCGATAAATGATATGGCAGATAAATCAATAAAGAATATGTGGTTACAGCTCTAGTCTGTTCGATTTACAAAGACATGCTAGCTTTCCCATCTGTTTGAGTCTTTATGCTAAGCTAACCAACTGCTATTTGCGGCTTTATAATTGCCGTACAGACATGAGTGATATACATTTTCTCAACTTACTCTCAGCGAAAAATGTATAGTTCCCCAAATGTCAAGCTCAGTGTTAAGGGTTCAAGTTGGATGATCTGCAAGAGGAAGAAGACTCCCTTCTGCTCATGATGAACAAATACATTTGATGCTCGTGGACTTGGACTGCACAGACACACGCATGGAGGCATAAGGGACGCACCGCATAATGCTCTTTGGCTGAGTTCAGGCGTACATAGCACAGGCTTTCACACTCACCAACACGTTCAGAATACTCTCGATTGTAATGGCACTGGCCATAAGGCAGGCAGCTAGACTGAGTGCGGAGCTACGTACAGTGTAGCAGAAAAACATGAGGTGGTGACGGTGTGATACTGTGGTCAGAGACGGCACAACTGGAGTGTGCACAGCTCTTTTTCATAAGAGTGTATACAGAAAAAGCCTATAATTAAAACCCATGGCGCAGGAGAACAGAAGTACACACTCACAGGTAAACAGTACAGACGTGAGCTGCAGGGGTGCATCATAGAGGAAAAACAAACAAAAGGCTGCCCTGAAATGGCTAATGAACTAGCTTCAAAACATACACAATAATACAACATTAAGTTTGAGATATAACGAAATTAGGCTGCATTTATAAGTAATAGTACCTGCCTTGTACATACACAATTCAAATAAAATGACACAAGTAGCTAGGATACTTGTCTTATCAAAAATATGTAGCTTTGGTAAACAAGTTATGTAGAGAACTGTTGTTGTGTGGATGTGAGAGGTCACTACATGACATCTAGGAATCAAGGGTGAGAACGTTTTTGAGGCTATGAAGTCAACGAGAGGAGGAGCAGGCTTAGCAGGCTCCTCCAATAAAATCCTCTGTCCTCTCGTCTCCAGCTGATGAGGAACAGAGACAGCGAAAAGGCAGCGAGACTCCCGAATGGAAACTAAAAAAAACTGCTTTCTTTACCGTCCCGAGCACCGATTGAAGAGTTTCCGTGGTAATGTAGCAGCATCGTAATGGTCTGCGGAGGATTAGACTCCTCCAGAGCCGAAGTGGAAGACTACTTTCTCTCCTCTCCTTCCACCTTTCACCCGTTTTCCATCCATCGCAGTGGAAGACCGGTCGGATTTCTTTTTTCAACAGCGCTCCTCGAATATCCACAGTGGAGACAAGACAGGTGAAATAACTTATGTTCCTTTTTCCTCAGCTCCTGCTTCATGTGGTCTTTGCTTCTATGTGGGTTTGATCCAGGCACGACATCCAGATAGTCCATACAAATAACCGACCTCCTTAATACTCGAGCGTCTACCATTCAGCGCCATCTTCCCCCCCCCCCCCTCTGTCACACGTTGCTTCTTCCATCTTTCTACTTTCTTTCACTCCTCCCGGTTGGATTTCTATCCAATGTTCTTATCTCCTTTTTTCCAATGATCTTTTTTTTCACCGATTTCTGCGTCATCTTCCAGTTCCCAACATTTCAGTCAACCTTCTCCACCTTCCCGATGATCTTCTCCTCGAAGATGGGCAAGATGGCGTCATCGTCCCGAACCTCCTCGAACACCACACCGCAGTCAAACTCGTCGCTCACTTTCTTAAAGTAAAACCTGCAGGGAACAGAGATGCTTAAGTATCTAGGAGCCAAACACCGAGACAAATAGTTCATTTAAAACGTGATGTTCTGGTATGACGTTTCTAAAAGTTGTTTGGTAATCTATTTATGTAAATGCACTGAGGAATGATTGCAAGTAGGGATGCTCCGATTGATCGGTGCTCTCTAAAAATGCCGATCGCATGGCGTAAAATACATGACACTTTTCTCTGTGCGCGGCAAAACAAGCCAACATGGCTTCACCGGTCTGGCAGTATTTTAAGGTGTCCGAAAGACAATAAAATAGCGGCATGCAATGTGTGTGTGAAGCAGAAATCCTGCAGCTCCGCCCGCTGTGACGGACCGGTGAGCGGAGCAAAACACACAAGAGTTAGAACTAACACACTTAGCTATTTTATCTACCTCTGGAACAAGCTAAACTAGTCATACATATGTTTATTATTCACTGTCAGGTCACTCATTACTGGATCAGCGAGCTGCATGAGACGGATAGGGACCGGCTGTCAGGA